GACCACAGTGGAACACATTTACTGGCCCGCTCCAGGCAGAACTGGAAAAAAACAGAGGAACCCAGCCCATGTTTGTGATGGCAGTGAGAGACACTTTTCCAATATTTAATTCTGGCACGTGCTCCGATGCCAAGAATTTATTGCAGTGCCACAGTCTGGCTCGTGGGTGTGTGCACGTGTGCGTGTGTGTGTGCGTGTGTGTGTGTGTGTGTATAAGAAGAGGGAACGGTTCAAACGAGAAGAGAACTTGTGGTTTTGGAGGAACCCTCCGGTTTCTCAGTGTTCCCAGCGACTGAGACAGTTGTCGGAGAACACTTGGTCCTCTGGTCCTCTGGACCTGGTCCTGGTCCTGGTCCTGGTCCTGGTCCTGGTCCTGGTCCTCTGGACCTGGACCTTCAGCTGGTCTCCTCCTCAGTCTAGAGTTAGGGCCAGACTTTTTTCAAAGATTTATTTCTTTATTTATTCACAGTATAAAATCAAATCAATTTTTTTTTTTTTTACTGAAAGTGAGTGAATAAAACGTTCTGTGCATAATTCACACTGTAAAGAACTGAAGTCCCTGAAAAGATGAATTGGTTCATTGTGTTCTTTGTTCAGTTCCTGGACTCACTCCTACAGTGGGTCGGTCTGCAGCACGACCTCGGTGACAGAACCGATGTTTCAAAGCACCAGAACCTGCACAAGAACCTGCACACACCTCTCAATAATCAGAGCAGAACTTTTTTTTTTTTACCCTGCTTCATCCTTAACTCCTCCTTCTTTTCTCACTTATTTTCCCCCAACAGGACGAGGAATCCCACAGAGCGCCCCCCCAGTGCCGTCTGGCGGGACCCACTTCCGCTTCCCCCCCTCCACACCCTCAGATGTCCTGTCCTCCAGCGAGGAGCTGCGCAGTCCGGGCATGTTCAGCAGCGTGGCCCGACGGATGGCCCGCGGCTCCGTCAGCGACTGCAGCGACGGGACCTCCACCAACTCTGAGCTGGAGGAGGCGGTGGGCGCCGATGAGCGGGGGGTGGGGGCGGAGAGGGCCTTCAGGGGTCTGCTTCCTCCACGCCTGCCCCACGAGTCCCTCTTCAGAGTCTACGGCGGAGCTCCAAACCCCGCAGGCCTCCCCAGACATGGACCCAGGGTCCACCCAGACCCCCTGTCTCCCTTCCCCGTCTCACCCCTGCCCGGTCCCGGTGGTCTCCTCGCGCCGACACTGTCCCCGGCCCTGTCCATGACCCCGACCCCTCACCTGCCCTACACCCCCTCACCGTCCCTGTCCTCGCCCATGATGGGCTCCCACTTCTCCTTCAACCCGGAGGACATGAAGCACTACCTGCAGGCCCACACCCAGTCCGTCTACAACTACCACCTCAGCCCCCGGGCCTTCCTCCACTACCCCAACATCGTCATCCCTCAGCCGCACCGCCCCACGCTGGAGAAACCGCCCACCCACCACCTCCATCTGCCGCTCTCCCACCCCCTCGGCCCGCATCCAGGAGGAGCAGAGGAGGTCCAGCAGCACCCGTCCCCCTTCAAGTTCAAGCTGCAGCCTCCCCCGCTGGGGAGAAAACAGAGGGATTCAGGAAGTTCACTGGCTTCAGCTTCCTCCTCCTCCTCCTCCTCCTCCACCAGCCAGTCCTCGTTCTCTGGCTCTGGACAGTTAGGTGGTTCTGGTCTGGCTGCAGGTCCTCCAAAGATCCAGGTGAGATCACACACACACACACTCACACACACTGTCCTGTTGTACCAGGAGTTTGTCTCACGTGAATTAACCTCTCTGTGCCACCAGGTGGAGCCCATATCTGACATTGAGTCAGAGGAGGAGGTGGAGGTGACTGACATCAGCGAAGAAGAGGAGATGAATCACATTGATGAAGGAGGCGTCTTCAACCCCGTGGCTCACTATCGGCTCAACACCCACCACCACCACCAGCACCACCAGCACCAAGCTAACGGTACCAGCAGCAGCTGCCCCCCCGCTCCCCCCCACAACCACCAGGACGAGGACGACGACGAGGAGGTCTTCAAGACTCCCGCCACTCCTCCCCTCGGCAGTGCCGGCCCGCCTTTCCCACTCCTGAACCTGCAGAGCGAGCCGGGTCAGGCCGC